GGTGCACATCCAAGAGGCAGAAGCATGCAACACAACACTTGTCAGATATTAATTGTCTTAGGAAGTTAACAGCAGTTAGTTTTATTATTATAAATAGGAGTTCTAACAATAGGATTAAGTGTGTTGTGTTCACTTTGTACAAGTTACTCCAAATTTACTCAAAGTATCCATGTGTAGAGAAAAGAGTCTTGGGAGAATGTACGTGATGTAAAACACCATTTTCTGCTTTAATGAAATTTACTTTCACTTTTTATCAAAAGAGTTAATCTTTTACTTTTTTACAAGTTATATTTCAGCATTATGTCTTATTTTTTTAGCCTTTTTTGACGTCTTCAGCCCTTCTTTCGATTAAATGTTCTTGTGTTTCTTTTGAACTATACTTTTAAATAAACTTTTCTTTATGAACACCGTCGAAGTGTTTAGTCTTTAGAATTTTCTTTGAATCAATATTTAGCACATGTACTAGGATCAATCTGATCGATCCTGTGAGTCACCAAAGTTAGATTTGGAAGATCAGCGGTTGTTTTCCAATTTTCACGGGAAACACTATATTACTATAAGTTGCGTACCATATATATGTTAATATATTTCTATAAGTTATGTACAGTATCTATGTTAATATATTACTATAAATTATAAATTATGTACAGTATGTTAATATATTACTATAAGTTATGTATCTATAAGATTTATTAAATTATAAAATTATGTATCTATATATTATTATAAGTTATTTAATATGTTAAGTGTATGTTATGTATCTGATTGTTTTAGTTTACCAAAATATAGCACTGGTTGTTATTACTAGTACTGATTATTTAGTGTATGTTTTATATTATTAGTTGTTGTTTAGTGTGTAAAAAAATAGGACTGATTGTTTAGTGTATATTGTGTATTACTTATTGCAGTTTAGTGTCTCAATATATAGGATTGATTGTTTAGTGTATGTTGTGTATTGTTGGTTACTATGTCAAAATATAGGACTGATTCTTTTAGTTTACCAAAATATTTTCAGTGTCGGAACATCTTGTTTCCCATATTGAACCTACACAAGCAGAATCTGCACTTCCTCTCGTTCCCCCTGCTAGGAAAAAAAAGACAAGTTAATGCTAGTGGAATTAGGAAAACTTCCTCTGTTTGGTTAGACTTTAACATTTTACCTGATGAACCTGAACCAATAGCCGCGTGTAAACATTGTCACAAAAGATACCGATGCGATCCTAAAACACATGGAACATCCAACATGTTAGCTCACTCAAAAGTGTGTCACAAAAACCCTAATCTTTTACAGAAAGATCACACACAAAGAAACCTTGTAAGTGGTGAGGGTGGTTTTTTAGGTTCAACAAGCCAAAGGTTCAATTCTCAAGCATGTAGAAAGACTATTACTTCCTTTTTTATTCTTGATGAGCATTTGTTTATAGTGGTAGAGGGTGAGGGTTTTAAGAAACTATGCAAACAACTACAACCACAAATTAATATCCCTTCAAGGAGGACTGTTGCTAGGGATTGTTTTCAACTTTACCTAGCCGAAAAGTTAAAACTTAAAGCCTTTTTTAAATCTGATTGTGCTAGGGTTGCACTAACCACAGATTGTTGGACTTCAATTCGAAATCTTAGTTACATGTCCATAACTGCACACTTCATTGACAATACATGGATTTATCATAAAAAGATTATTAATTTTAGTTTAGTTCCAAATTACAAGGGTGACACCATTGGTAAAAAAGTGGAGAATGTTTTGAAGGAATTAGGGCTTAGGAAAGTGTCAACAATTACCCTTGACAACGCAACATGTAATGATGTGGTTGTTTCTTACTTGGGAAAAAGACTTAAGAGCAAGAATGCTTTAATTGGTGTCAGGAGTTTTTTGCATATGAGGTGTGCTACCCATATCTTAAACTTGGTAGTGAGAGATGAACAAAAAGATCATGAACTGGCTATTGAAAGTGTTCGCGATGTTGTTAGGTTTGTGAGGTCCTCACCACAAAGAGATTTGAAGTTTAATGAATGTATAGAAATCGTAGGGATAACATGTAAAATAAAACTTGGCCTTGATGTTTCCACACGATGGAATTCCACTTACTTGATGTTGGATGCTACTGAGAAGTTCCAAACAGCATTTGAAAAGTTAGAGGATGAGGATCCTAGTTACATGGAGTTTTTTGACCTTTTCGATCCAACTTGTTCTACTGATTGGGAAAAAGCTAGGGTTTTTGCGATTTTTTTGAAAATATTCTATGAAGCAACCAAATTGTTTTCATCTTCGCAAGAAGTGTCAGTATATTTAGCTTTTCATAACTTGTCTGACATTTTATGTAAGCTTCAAGAAGCGTCCTTAAACATGAAAACCTATGTGGCTCCAATGGTTTCTAATATGAGGACCAAATATGATAAATATTGGGGAGATGTTGAAAAAGTGAATCATTTTATCTATTTTGGAGTGATCTTTGACCCTAGGTTTAAGTTCGATTATGTTGAGTGGTCTTTCAATGATATGTATGGGGTTGATAGTGAACTTGCTAAGAAAAATGTTGAGTGTGTCAAAAAAAAGTCTACATAAACTGTACAATTGGTATAAATTTGAGCATGATAAAATATTTTTTTTCTCTTGCATATGCAACCATACTAAAGCATTTTTTCTCTTGTACTTGCCGCCACTTTTTGAATTTTTTTGAAGTCTTGAATGACTCATAATATTAAAGCTATTATAATTAGTAAATCAGTTTTGAAGCCATGACTCGTAACATTTTGGGCAGCCACTACTGGTTTCATAGTAATTCAGTGTCAGAAGTTTGTTTTGGGTAAAGAATCCATGTTACAATTTCTTTACATGTAATAATTTTTTTGTCATAAATTGCTTTATAAAAGATAACAATTATGCTTCTTTTTTTAAAATTTAACAATTGAACCCCTTAAATGGCTAATATTTGTTAAATGTATTTCTATTTGTAGCAAATCCAATTCATGATGAAATGAGGACACCTATGTGTGATCATGCTCGAAAGCCTTATGCACCAATGAATCTTGCTAGGTATTTTCTAACATCTTCATTCTCTACTGAGCTTAATATGTGTTTTGATTTAGCCCCTACTTTGGATCTTATATTATGGGTCCAAACATGTTTGAGGTATCAGGTATGAGTATGCCCATTGCACATGTTGAAGAAAGTTGGAAAATAGTTGAGTTTTATAGCAACAAGGTACTCTTGTAAGTTTTTGCAATACACCTTAAGTAATCAACTGATCTATAAAAAGATTATGATCTCCATGCCTCTATTTATGTTTGTTTGTTGCAAGAATTTTTATATAATGCTCTCTTTAGATAACTGACTGATGTATAATTGGTAAATCAAGAAGCTATTGTATAATTGAGAAAAGAGAATAATTTGTGTGCAAATGTTTGAATTCTTTTAGGAAAATGTTACTTTTATGTTACATGTTTGATACAGTTGAGAAAAGAAACTATTGTAACTTACTGCTACCTAATTGTTTGTATTATGGTGTTAGATTTTCTGCTACTTTACTTGTTGCTTTAAGGGTTGTTTCTAAGAAGGTATTGTATCAAAATTGATTTCAAGTCCGTTTCTATTTTGAAGCCAAAAAGAATCTAAACTTTTGTTGCTGAAGTAAGTGTTCTTTCGTTGCTAAACTAGAAGGATCAACTTGCAACATAAAAGAAATTATACTTTTATTGCTGAAGTAAGTGTTCTTTCTACTAATAATAGATTATTTAAGCAAAATCTGCTTGTATGTATTTTCTGACATAAGTCATTTTCTTCTGAAAGTTCACCAATCAAGGTGTTTTAGGGGTGAAATATGCATTATGTTTGCATCTGGTTCCAACTCTAATGCCTTTCTTCGTCAACCGACATCTTCAGAAGGCAACATTATGTATGAGGTGAAATATAATCCATGTTTTGTTGCACACATTCTGGTTCTGATTTTTGTGTGCTTTTTTAGTTTTTTAAAATTTAGATTTATCTTATCTATTGTGGTTATATCAGGAATTCATGGAAAGTTGTTCTTTGTAATTGTGGTAATGTTGTTGGTGTTGTTTATGATATGTTGATGATGTTCTTTGTCATTTATCTAATTTGTTTAACTTTTTGTAGGTTTGATATATTAGATTCACTACAACAACTCTAAAAGCTACTTACAAAGAAGCAGGACCAATGAACATGAAAGTTATGATTGGTTGTGTTATGTTATTAAATTTATATTGGCTGTTTTAATGTGTTGGCTATTTGAGCTAATACTTATATGCTCAAAAAACTTATATTTATATGGTTCTTGTAAGTATTAATTTTTATTTTAGTAACTTTGTGTGTCATAATGTTGCTGAATTTGGTTCAGTTTTAAAAATGATAATTGAGTTTTAATTAACTCAGATTTAATCTAGATTTTCATATTTGAACAAAATAATGAGTTCAAATAACTGAGATTTTTAAAATAAAAATAATTAGATATTTAGTGATATTCTTTTAGTAAAACTAAAAATTTAAAAAGTCCAATAAATAAAAAAGTAGATTTGTGATTAAAAAAAATATATTTAAACATATTTAAAGTTGATTCATCATTGATCCACTACTTAATAAAAAATTGGATGATTTTTAAATTAACCCATTTATTGTCAAATCGAATAAACTGAGTTATGAATCCAAAATCAAAAAAAATCGAATCCAAAAAAATAAAACTTTAAACTGGACAAAAATGAATCTGTATTTCTCGACAGATAGTTTGGTCGGTTCTGAGTTTTAGACCCGAAAACCAAACCGGCCCGACAACGCATTTTTTAATTATAGTAGGTAGTTGATACGTATTCTGTACCAATAATTAGCTACGTATACGAAATCCCCGGTTTTCCAAAGCCCATAGTTTCATTAATCTGCCAACACTGTTTTTCTGTCACTTTCTCATCTGTCCCTCTCTATAAAATTCCATTACCACACCTCCATCACCACTTTGGCTCTTTCCGTAGAGATCAAAACAACAAACATCATGGTAGGAGAATTGACAGCAACAAAACCAAGTCGAAGCGACGAGGTTTTAGATACCGAAGAACAAATCAGAATCACAAATCAAATCAAAGCTCAATTCGACGCTTTAACTCCTAAACGACCCATCAAACCCAACCGAAGCGAACCCGAACCACAAAACACCGTCAGCTCCACCACTCTCTCTTCGCAGAATATACCGGAGCTTGAAAAACTTCAATCTCTTCAATCTAACTCGCAGGTTTTTCCTTCTTCGCATGGAGTAGTGGATGGCCAAGATGAATTTGTGGAAACTCATTATTACAAGGAGTTGTTGTCGATTGATAAACAGCATCACGCGGTTCGTGATTTTACTATGTTTTTATGTTATTTTTTTCATTTTGGTTTTTTTGTAATCGTTTTTGGTGATACAGACAGGAAGTGGGTTTATAAAAGTGGTTAGAGAAGATGAAAGTGGATATGAGATTCAGTTACCTGTAAACCATGTTGTTGTCGGTGAAACACAAATTAAAGGGTATAAAAGTAACCCTGCCACAAATGACTGGGTTCCCAACCTTGATCAACATAATCAGGTATATAAGAAAGTTTATGTATTTGGTCTAGTTACAGTTACAGTTAGAGATAGAGAGATCTTATTAATTTAATTGTGACAGGATTTCATGTCGTCGAAGCCGAACAGGAGCGAGAGCACCTAGATCTGTTTATTGTGTTTGTTGAAGTTAACGATACCAAGTGTTAGTTGAAGTTATGAACAATGAAATAGTGGTGTGCGTCATTCAAGCATATTTTCGAGGAGGCAAATAGATACTGCTCTCTTTATTTTAATGTTAGCTAAAAATAAGGGTATCCAAATGTAATTTGATCCCATGGGAGTGGTTTGTAATTATAATTAACTTTGTCAGAATTAATTTCATTTCAAGTATTTTTTGTTTGAAGCATTCATTTCAAGTATTCAATACTACTGACATGTTCGATAATAAAGAGTAACATTTGAAATAAGGAAATGTAAGTTTGGTTTAGTTTTTTTAGAGGGAAAAACATTTCTACAGAAATATATTTGATTTTGAAATGATTTTGAGGTGGTGTTTTGTTCTTTTAAAATAGAATTAGGCATGTATCTATAATTGATTTTACAGTTAGAATTTGTAATTTCTAAATTTAAATTTGATCTTACATTGAAATTTATCATTCATAATGTATCTAAACATAAATCAATTATATTAAATTCAATTGTGTTAAAATTAATTCTATCAAATTTAATTTTGTCAAAATCAATTATGTCTCACGTTAATCTAAACATATACTAAGAGGTTCAATTAATGATCTTTGGAATGTTTAAAAATGATAAGAAAATATAAAAGCTAACTTTAATTTTTTTTAAAGGCAATTGGATTTAAAAAGAATACCAGGGTATTCTAACCCTTATAGCAAACAAGATGAAAAGCAAAAAAATTTCAACCAACAGTGCTATAGAACTAGAACCTAAAGAGGATTCATACAAAAAAACATCAAGTAACTAGAAATTAAAGAGGATTCATACAAAAAGCATAAAAGTTAGAGTTGGAGTAAGGAATTTTTCCTATAAGACTCTAATTCCAAACACAAAATTTAATGTTCCAACCCACATTATCAACATTGCAAGTCTCAGCTTGAAAAATGACTTCATTCCTTTCCTTCCACAAAGACCAAACAACTGTCAACCAAATTGCAGCTCTTATATTTTTTTCTGCATAATTGTTAGCAGCAACACTCCAATCCAAAATATGACTACTAATGCATCCTTTATAATCCACCCCATTTCCACTCCACCCTCCAATATTTTTCCACACAACCACGACCACAGGACACAAAAAGAAAAGATATTCCACCGTTTCTTCCACTTCACCACAATTTCCACACAAAATATCACAATCAATACCTTTTCTAATTAATGCATTCTTAGTGGCCAATCTATCTCATTAACACCTCCACCCAAATAACCTAATTCTCATCAGAACAAAAGAACTCCACAACAATTTAAACTCTTTACCCTGCGAATATGACAATTGATCATACACCTGGTACTCATCTACTGATATGCTGACTTTACCGAGTAACCTCTGAAAGCATCTCCGACCCACTTCACTACATCCTTTACACCCAAAGAATGGGTTTTATCATCCAGCAAAGCCATTAGACTAGCAAATCCCTCTATAATTTCTACTCGACCTAGAAATTTAATCCCCAAATCTCCCAATCGCCATACATCTTCACTCCAACTTCCCATGTCAGAAATCATCCACCCTTTGCTACTATTTCTATATAAATGCACAAAAGCCTCTGCCAACGAATCAGAGGTTGCCCAAACAACGGACAAAAACGAAATCTTAATTCCATTTCCTAACGCAAATTAACAAAATCACAAATATAATAAATAGAAATAGATCCATATTTCAGTATGTCTCTCTACCAACTAGATGCAAATTTTTTAAAACCCGAATTATCTGTCAACACCAAGTGTTCCACCTCCCCATACCTAGCCTTCAGAACCGTCTTCCACCTAGAATTGTCCTCACTTAAAATTCTCCATCTCCACTTGTTTATCAGAGCTAAGTTGAATTCTTTAATACATTTAACTCCTAGCCCCCCTAAGCTTTATCCCTACAAACAATCTCCATTTCAACCAACAAATATTCGCCTTTACGTCCTTACTTCCCCATAGAAATTGTCTTCTGATCTTGTCAATATCCTTCCAAACCGCCATTAGAGCCTTATAAAATGAGAACCAAAAAATTGGAAGACTCGACAAAACAGAGTTAATTAAAGAAACCTTACCTGCCATTGTCAATAACCGGCCTTTCCACCCTGCCAATTTCTTCTTAAAATTCTCAATAACAAGCTTCTAAGAAGAAATCCTCCTAGGATTACATCCGATTTGAGTTCCCAATAAAAAACAGAAATTTCAAGCCAACAAAAAATTATTATTAACGTTGATACCCGTGATCCTACTCTTATGATAGTTCACTCCCAATCCAGTCACTAATTGGAAACCACGCAAAATGACTTTAAGACTCCAAATATTTCTCAACCCTCCAACTCCCACCATCAGCGTATCATCTGTAAACTGTATCACCTCCAGAGTAGTGACCTCATCGGATTTAAAACCCACAAAATATCCTAAACCTGTTGCCCTTTTAATCATAGCAGTGAGACCTTTAGTAATAAGAACAAAAAGAAATAGGGCAAGAGGATCACCCTGCATTAAACCAAGGTGAATCTCAAAATCCTTGGTTGGACTCCCTAATTCGTTGTCGCGCACGGATCAAAAACGAGTATTTTTGAAAAGAGTAGTAACGGTAATGGCAACTCGAGTATCGTTTTCACAAGGATTCTTATATTATTTCAACCAACTTAAGAAAAGTTTTACAGGGGGTTTTAAGTTTTGATTTATAAAACAAGAGAAAAAATGATTAAAATAAGTGATTATTAATTAAGCTAAAACGACTAATCCTACTGATTCGGATTCTGACTTATCGTCGGCTATTATAACACCAATCCCGAAGCGGCTTCAATTCTATTCGATTATGATATTAATCAGACAAGCGCTTATCAAAATCATACGAATTATGTTCCTGTTACCGAATTAAGCAAACGGTTAAGAATATGACGAGTTAATAAATTAAACAAACGATAACACGCAATTAAATTTAGGAACATGCATACAATCGAACTTAATCAATTCTATCCTATGAACACAATAGAATTAAGCAAACGATTGCAATCAAATTAAGCAAATGATTTCATAAAAAATAATTGAACAGAAATCGAATTAAATTGGTATTATAATAACCTCAAAGTGATGGAACCCGTAAGCAGCAGGGTTTGCCTTGGGAATTAGTTTTCCATGAAAATTGTACAAAACACAATGAAATTCGTAAAAAGAAGGTTTAGTGACAGTAGTACGGCTGCTAGGTATAAGAAAGCATCAACACTTCTGGTTTTAATCCAACTGGGTCGAAAAACATAAAAATCCCGGCCCAAAACTAAATATTTCAAACGACAAATTTTGGGTCCTGACTTCAACGAATTATTTGGACCTTCTACACTCCGAATCATCCTCTACCTCAAACATAAAAGTTATAACTCTCTGTCTTAGCTTTCCAACACCTCTTAGAATGCGCAAATCCAATTCTCGCAATTGAAAATAACTGCTAAAACTGAAAATAAGCTGCGAAAATAAAATAAAGGTAAAAACAAACTTAAATATGAAAAAACATTAAAATAGTAAAAAAAAAATACTCAAATAAACTGTAGGAATGCCTAAGTATAACAATGGAAGAATGTGTATGAAGATGTAGACCATTAAAAATGAAAACGTCCATCCATTTCATCCAAACAGTACCAAATCCCATTTTGAGCATCACATTCCTCAGGAAATTCCAATTAACGCTGTCGTAATCCTTTTCAAAATCAACTTTAAAAAGAACACAATCCAAATTATCCCTAGTCGCTTTATCAATAACCTCATTTGCTACTACTACAGCATCCAAAAGTTGTCGCCCTGGTACGGAAGCTAATTGGTTTTGCGACACTAACCTAACAATAATCCTTTTATGCCTTGCAGCCAACAACTTAGCAAAACTTTTATACAAACTTCCCACCAAACAAATAGGTCTATAACCATAAAGACTTAAACGGATGGGAACTTTAGGGATAAGAGTAAAAAACAAAGAACTGGCCGCCTTAGAAAGATGAACAAAATGGTGGAAATCCTTAAAAAAAACACAAATTTCTTCCTTCAAAAAATGCCAACACTTCTTACTAAACACAAAGTTATAACCATCCGGTCTGGGGGCTCTTGCTGCCTTCGCAATTCCAAACTTCTATCTTAATTTCCTCTTCTGTGAAAGGGGCCTCCAAAGACACCACTTCGACCTCAGATAAAATTGAAATGAACCTCCTCTCAAGAAGGCATATCCAAATCAATTTTATAATATTTATCTCTGAAAAAATATCACATTGTATCTTTTATTCCTTCCACCGAATCAACGTCCCCCCTCCGAAGTTGTAATTGAATCAATAAAGTTACTCCTCGCTCTTCCTTTGACCAAGTTATGGAAGAACTTAGAATTTAAGTATCCCTCCCTATTCCACTTCGCACGCGCTTTTTGAATAAGAATGTTATCATATATGTAGAGATTCTTCCAAATAGTTCTACTAGCTTCTGCTCTCCTATCCACCAAACCCTCCACCTCAAAATCTTCAGCTGAAGCCAAAGCCTTATTTGTCTCAAAAATAACATTCACACCTTCTTTCACTTAAAGATCATGCCAACCAAAAACATCCTTGTTCCAAATTCTAAGACTCTCTTTTAACATTTTAAGTTATTCTTTCAACACAAAATCACTCCTACTCACCACCTTGAGATCCTTCCACTTCCCCTAAACAAAATTTATAAAATTCATATTGTCGAACATTGATTACATAGTAATACTCATTATTTCACACCACTTTAGCTCCTAAGTAACCTTCCCTGGAGAAAGTAAAAATAGTCTGAATCGAATTTTCGTTCTACATTGTAATAATCCCCCCCGAAAGTCCACGAGATCTACTATAGGACCAACCCAGATTTCGGTTGCTCCAAATGCTACCAATAAGTTTATTATCAACTTTCTTTAATTTAGATTCATGGATAAGAAAAATATCAGCCTTACTT